TTTGGCTAGAATTAGTGTTACTCTGCGTGCCCTGATGAGGAGTTAACAGAATTTTTAAATTTCTGTGTGTTCTCAAATACTCTGGACATTTTTTTTTTTTTCAGCAGTGTTATGTTGCTGCGCTGAGTTGATAGGCATTGAGAAATATCTCACTTTCCTGTTTTAGCATTGTTTGAATTATGAAGGCCGTTCCTTTGGGGTTTAGTAAAACATAGTATCCTCTGTGGAGTACCAAGGCAAGATAATCAACCATCGTATATAATGCATTTGCCTGACCTAATGGTCCTGCTGGCTGACAATTTTAGTGTACATTTGCATTAACATTTTTTTCTGTCTGTCTCCCTGCTATTACTAACTTACTTTCTACATACATCCTGCTGCTCAGAATGAGGAAATTAAGTGGCAGCTTTCAGTATTAGGAGTCCTTCCCAGGCCATGTCTTTGAATATACTACACTAGAATGAATCTCAGATCATGACTCATGTAGGATCTTGCAGGTTCAATTATCTTGTCTTCCTTTTCTTTGTGACATAAAAAAATAAATTCAGTGTTTTTAGTTAGTCCTGGAGGGGAAAAAAAATATCAGAAAGTGGAAGCCATCAGGAGCTTAAAACATACATCCCTTTGCAGATGTGGGCTCCAGTGATGATGTCGTGGTTCTGCTGAAGTTAGAAGTTGGGTGACTTTGTGACCGTCGGGAGTCACCTCTTGAGCACTCTATGCTGTGGTTTTTGCATGCCCCAGAGGGAAGGAAGCAGTCCAGTGCCTGCATTTGCAGAAAAGTCATGCCAGACTTTGTGTATCTCATGATTTATTTTCCATAAGCTACAACATACAGCATATATAGGCAGAGTGCGGCATCAACCAAGCATCCTGTAAACTCAGACCGTGCAATGACCGAGTATAGCTAAGAGAAATGAACTACTGCTATAACATTAAAGAACATTAAATCCCTTTGTAGATGCTCTTAACTAAAAAATAAAAGTATCTTTTTGGGTTTAACTTAATCCCTTTGTGGGGGAATTAAGCTAAGCAAACTGAAGCTGCTGTGCTTCTGAAAGAGCGCTTCCATGCAAGAGTTTAGAGTGCTTTAGCTTGTCATCTAGGTGACCCTGCTTTGGCAAGGGGGTTGCACTAGATGATCCACAGAGGTCCCTTCCAACCCCTACGATTCTGTGACTCTGTGATCTTTGCTTACTTGATCTTGACTTCTGTAGATAGCTTTGCCTAGACACATCTGTTGTTCCCTATGGATACCGAACTGGCGCTGTATTGTATACAGTAGGTTAATGTTTCTAGATGCAGTCTCAAGCTCTGTGAATTCTCACTTAGAGAAGTTTCTGTCATTCAGAAATAATGCGCCAGTAAGGAAATCTAATTCGTATTTTTCTCCATTTTACTCAGAACCTTATCTTCTTCTGACTGATTGGTATCCATGTAGGTGCGTGCCAACATCTCATCTTCTGTGTTGTGTTTATAGTAATCTTGTACATCACGTGCTTATGACTTGGCTTCAGACTTGAGGTAGGCTGATGAACTGATGTGACAGATTAGTATGGGTATGTTATAAAGAATTTTCATATAGTCCCTTAAAATGTTTGCTCCTTTTTCCCTATGTACAGGCATGCAGGAATGGGGCAAAATGACTGTCATTAAAATGACTTGTATGACGTGACTCAGAGACACTAGGCACTGCTACAAGAGCTGACTTAAAGACAACAGAGTTAAGTAGGAAGAGGTAACCAACCCTGTTCTCCTCTGCCTCATCGTTATCCGACAGCTGATAATTAAAATAATTTTCTCTAACACCAAGGTAAGGCAAGGCAAGAGGCTGTCTCCCAAGCAGATGCCAAGGCAGCTCCCAGACCAGATGGCGTTGTGCTGGCATGAGCTCTCTGTCCACACCCTGCAGCTATGTTCGTGGAGTATCTTCTCTCATAGCTACTGGGCAGTAAACACAAGCCTCATTTGGCGTCCGAACTGGGAAGTTGGGCTGATAGTACATGCCATCTGCTGAAAGCACCTACAGTGAGTCACCGATGGCAGTTGGAGTGAGTCGCCTGTGTGCAGGATTCTGTCATGTACATGTGTGTCTATGTTTTTTAAGGTTACTGCCAACAGTCTTTAAACACGGGCATTTTTTGGAGGAGCCTTAGGAGTGGTAATGCTTTATCCTAATTTTGGAATCCATATTTCTGATTTCAGAATCTGAAATAGCGTTATGAACTAATGTCACTACAGCGTGTCGGCTCTGAGTTGTATGAGTACATGTGATAGCTGTCTTCCTACAAAGGGAGGGCACCATTCATGTTCAAAACAGTTGGCTTTCAGGAGTTTACAGTACACTCTAGCTGAGTCCAGAGACCTGCTCTGCAAAGAAGTGATGCGAGGGTCCCTGGAGTTGTTACTGGCCTGTGTAAGGGCTGACCTCACTAGCTGGGCCTCTGCCTTTGCTGAAGGACACGTCAATTATAAGAGATTTTCTTTCGATGCAATTACACAGGTCAAAGTGCCATTTTGGCTTTTCTGTTTGCAAGTAGAAACCCATGCGTAACAAGTCGTTTTCTGCGGTGGAAGTCAGTGAGAGGGTATGCGTTTTCTTCTCATGTTGCTCTTTCTTATGCAGTCTTAGTTATCACTGGGTCAAAACTTGTGGAAGCATCAATAATTTGTAAATAGTTCTGAAAGATTACTAAGGAAGCAGTTTTGAAACTAGTGACCCTACAATGAGTAGCTCCTTAAAAAGCTAATCGTTATCTGGCACTTCACAGAATAGTGGCGTGGCTATTAGCTGGCCTTTTGGGAGCTTTCTGCTGCAAGGAAAGAATGAGCTCTGTTAGTAGGATCTCAGCTAGACCAGCAACCTCCTTTCCTTTGGATTAATGAGTGTTAAAATAGGAATATGTAGCTGCTGGAAGAAGGAAGTTATTAATTTTAGGGTCAGTGCCTGAGTAGCAGAAGTTTTAATGGCCAGCAACTCTCCTAATTGCAGAAAATTGCTTACTTGGAGATCTGATGTCGGGTGTTACTTCAAAGCAGATGAATGTGCATCCTTAGTTTTCCTCCCCAGGGAAGGTCATAGTGTCTCTGAGGTGAATAACAAACACTGTCAGTGTATGGTCAGCAGATGCTTTCTTCACTGAGACTGCGGAGAGGAGCAAACTGCTGCCATCACTGGCTGTCTTGGCTGTTGCTTTGCTTTACTTATTTGCCACTTTCATTGTGAATATCGGTTAATGTGTTTTTCATCTCTTTTGTGTTTACTCAGCAGCTGGTGCCTCTCTGGGTAGGGACAAACTATCTTAAAGGATAGCAGTGGGGACAGATTTTACTTGTATTGCTAACATCTCTGCCTTCCCATTTTTTAGTATCTTTGCCACACTACCTACACAGACAGGCTGCAGGAAAACTTGGACTGACATGGGCAAAAAGGGTTGCATGCTGATTAGCAAGGAACTGTAGCAGTTCATAGGGCAAGATACCCACAATTCAGGATTTTGCTATAATTATCAAACTTAAACATCAAGATGAAGATTAAGTTGTAAACTAACCACTATTGTAATGATTCATTTGTTTTAATTGACCCTAGGGTCATTCTGATTTATTTTTTTTTTTTTGGTAGGATGTTATTACATTTTTAGCTCTCCAAAGCAATAGACCTCTTATTAAACATCTGCATATTCTGTGTTGCTCTTCGAAGTCACCGGTAAGGCTGAGAGGTTTCATGAAGGAAGGAGAACTTACTGAACCAAGGAAAAGGACAACTGCATGCCACGGGCATTGGCAGAAGATTTGCCTTGCACTGTGCTAACCACAGCATGAACAGTAGCTGTGCACCTTGTGGAGGCAAAAACGTTGAACTTCTCTCCCCTGTAGCGTTAGACTGCCTTTGGATATGGTGTGAGTGTCTGCATGTGTGTGTTGCAGGCCCGTGTCACAGGAATTGTCACTGGGCTGACCTTGCCTCATGGGAGATGATATTTAGCCGAATTTTCTCCCAGCCTCTACACTGGCCAGGTTCGATTTTTAGAGTATGAATATTCACAGGGTTGGGTACATTAGGCTAGGTAGATTATTCATACATTTGCTGGTAGGGAATAGAAAGAATAAAGTGTTGCTATTTAAAAGAAAAAAAACCCACTGAAAATCTTTATAGTCCTGCAGCCAACAGTAGTGCAGTAATATGACATAGCTGAATATGGCAAGGCTCTAATAGGTAAGCTCCTCTGCAGGGTAGAGTGGCAGTGAGAATTTAAGGGATGTTTGAATTGTTTTTCTAATTTTGCATACAAATATTGACATTGTGCAATACTTGAATATATTCAGTGCATGTGCAGTAGGGCTTACTTTGCTGTTGGTGTGACTACTGTGAAACTAAGGGGTGATTTTTTGAGTAAGGTCTGCTGGATTTGATTTAAAATGTGTGCATTTTGTTTGCAGAAGAGAAGAGGCATATATTAATTTTCATTGTATTCCTTTACTTCTTGGTTATACTTAAAGTTTCCATTAGTTTTGGAGCACTAGTGAGCACTTCTGATTCATTCTCTTTTTTTAGTTAAGCATTGTTATCATTTGATAAGCATACCTTTCTCCTCAGAAGTAGGAAATTGCCTTACTCTTCGAACAGCGTTCATCTTGTCTGATGTAGCCATGTGCAGACCAGATGTTGAGTCCAAGCCCCCTATTTCCAACTGTTTTCCTAGTCAGTGAAGAAAGATGAGCACTTCTGGAGTCATTTGTCTCTGAAATCTGTCTCAGGATGCCAGGGATTTCAGATGAAAATATCTCCATTTGGTGTAGAGAGTTGAAATGATCATGTTTGTCTAGGTCCCAAACCGTGGCTAGAAGGAGGTGGGATGATCACCTGTGTGAGTCATAGTCAACTCCTGGTGCCATGTCAGTGGGTTGGCAATGTATTTATGAAAAAGCAGTGTGTGACAGGATGGAGTGTGGTGCTTTGGGGTGTCCTGTGGATTTACAGTCTCAATTTCCAATTTCAGGGAGGAGAACATTGCTATTACCAGGGAGAAATTCGAGGAAATCCTGTATCATTTGTTGCCTTGTCAACATGCCATGGATTACAGTAAGTCTGGTGTTTTGTTTTTACTGGCCTTTGCTTATTAGTCTTTTAAGCAAAACAAAGCTGTTTATAGTAAAGTAAGAGCTGTTTATTTTCCTACTAGTTTGTCACCAATATTAAGTACCCAACAATCTTTAGAAAAAATGGGTTTAATTTGAACCTTGCAAAAGCCTTGTTTGTTTGTTTTCAGAATTCACTGATAAAGTATGCAAGTTTCTTTTCTTTCTTTTTTTTTTTTTTTATTTTTTTCCAAACTGAGGACATATGACAGTGGCCAGGTATTGCTTACAGGTAATTTATTATAGAGATAGAAGAGTAAAAGTAGCTGAAAACACCCTATTCTACAAGAATAAAAAACACTGCCAGTATTGACATGAACCATTTGGAAATTGTGTTCTTTTGTTGTTGCTACAATGATATATTTTATCTTTCTTTTCTACTCTTTTCAAAGGAAAGTGTCAGTTTAGAGTTTCTTTTGTCCAGTCCATTTTCTTCACAGAATTGTTGGCCTTAAGCTATGTGCATGGGATAATACCTTTGATATAGTAAAATCTTTGAAAATCTGGAAGAAAGGGTATGAAATTGTACAATAATTTTTTTTTTAAATTACATCATTTTAGTGATAATGTAATTAAAGCATCTGCCATTTGAAGGTTACATGGAACTGTGTGTTGATTGTACAGCTTTTGGACCTGTCTGCTTTTGGCACAATTCAAAGATTCTACTCAGGTTTTCAGAGCAACCAAATAACTTCAGTGTCTGTTGAACCTGGGAATTACCGGATCTCAGTGCTTTTGATACTGAGATCAGCTTGAAAAGCAAGTAAGCCTGTGTGGAGGTTACCTGAGCTTTGCCTTTTTCTGAGGAGGCAGGGCTTAGCTGATGAAAATCTTCTTCAGCTTATTGTTGATCTCCAACCATTCTGTAGTTCTGGTATCAGCCATAGAAGTACACCTATTTAAGTAGTGCCTTTCTTCTTTATTTGTATACTCTTTGTTAGGAAGGGGGAGAATGCATGCAGAAGACTTGTCATCCTTGCACTTATCTGATTTACAACTGTGTTTCTCTCTTTTGTGATCAAGGTTGAGCAGCTCAAGAAACCTGAGCTAAGTTTCAGTATGTACAGTGAGCCTAAAAATAGCAGCATCTAATGCTTCCTGAGCCACTGAATGGCTTCCATTAGCAATGATCCATTAGGTCTTGGCCCCTGCTAACTCCTAGGAGAAAAGGCAGAAAGGAAGGAGAGCCTGCTTATGCCTTTTCCTGCCCTTCTTTTGTGCATTTGTTTGTAAGGTTGACCCTTCTGCTGACCTGTATTCTTAAATTGCCTGATATTCAAAGTGGTCCCTTCTAATACAGTTACGTGATGAAAGATGCATTTTTTCTCCCCATCAGCTCTCCCTTGAGAGGTATCTCCCCCCCCCCCCCCCCCCCCCCCCCTTCCTTCACACCTACACTGTGTGCACTTGCTTTCACACGATGCAATATGAAGCTTCAATATGAAGCTTACTATAGCAGGCTGGTAATTCCAGCATCCAGTATGAGAAAGTAATCTTTTCCTGGGCTGTATTAAACTCACATTCTCTGTCACTCCTTTTCCATCATTACAACTGGCTCCACCACAGTCGATTTTAAATGCTAAGTAATTACTAGAAACTCACACCGGCCATCAGAGTTCCTTAGCTTTAACCACAGTCTGGAGCATCTTGCTGGAATGAGGGAAGCTGGGGAGAGTTTTCTTCTAATAAGGTCTGCAGGGCAGGAGCTTTGCTGTCATGAATTTTAGGAAGTGCATAAGACAGAACAAATGCCTTTAATAGAATAACAATGTTCATATTCCAAAAGTTCATGCTTATCTCCTCTCCTACTTATTAGTATCCCTAGATCGTGGCCAGTTAACAGCAGAATTTTTCATACATGTGAGAAAATGTTGTGGTTTTTTAATCATAAATTATGAGTTTTTCTGTTGGTAATGTCTGTGGTCTTCCTTTTATTAGTTAAGTGAATTAGATGACTGTGTGACAGAATACTTAAAATTACAAATTTCTTCTCTTAGTGACTTTGCTAATGGAAAAAGCATCTCTGCAACCTTAACTCTTGAGCGAGCCATTTTGTTTGATTTTTTTTTTCATTTTCTGTGGGATGTGCAGTAACCACAGTTCCCTATGAGTTAACACAAAAAATTTTGAATGCAAAACACACTGGTTGCTGGGATATAGATAAGCTATAGTCAGGCACGACTTGCAGAACTGTGTTCAAGGCGAGTTGCACAGACGGCAGGTTGGTCTATGATTTTGCTGCCCACTGGTGGTGAATATCAAAACTGCTGTTATTACTGCAAATCAGACTTTCACGACTCCAAATTTGTTTGAAGAATGTATGCAATCAAAATTCAGGTTTTTGAAATGGCCCGTGTTTTGCTACTGCTTTCTCTCTAACATATGCGTGAGCATGTGGCTTGTTCACAGAACACTGGACTGTTGCAGTCGGTTGGAAAAGAGCCATGAAGGCTTTGAGTGGGCAAGTCGGATCTGTAGGTCAGCTGTGACTATTATTCTTGTCACTGTTGAGTGAGTTGACCAGAGGTCAGTGCTGCTGAATGCAGCAGTCACACGAGAAGCCATTTGCTGATAGTGCTGCTTCTTGCAGACTGTACTTAAGTAAAATTGCAGTTAGAGGGTAGGAAGTTTTGCCTGATTAAGAGCTGCAGGATGTTCCCAGATCTCGTCTTATTCCCACGCAAAGAAGCTTCAATGGGTGCTAGAATATTTATCTTAAGCTGTGCAGACAGTGTTTATTTCTAAAGAATAGGCATAAGTAATTTAAAAGGTGAAACAGCTTTAACTGTAGGTATACTCATGATCACGTTCCATGTATGCTATACAGTCAGTAACCCAAGCTACTTCTCTTCATGGTACATGGTTAACACTGTAAGTGAATGATATTACAAGAAGTATGCTCATGAATAGCTGTAATGGTTCACTAGCTTAATATATGCTTATATTTCTTAATAGTCAAGAACAGAATGATGATATTTTGCTAACTGCATCTTCATGTGCAGAACCTAAATCAATTTTACCGATTAAAAAAAAAAAAGCTGCGTAAGAAAAAAGAAAAGTATCTGGTTTTGTTGTTTATAATTCCAGTGAGGTTTTTTTGATGCTTAAAAGTTTGCTGAAGAGTAGTCTAAATAAATAAATAATCTTGCTTTCGTGCTGCTATTGTGTACTTATGGCCTCAAGTTCCGTCAGGGGAGGTTTAGGCTGGATATTAGGAAAAATTTCTTTACTGAAAGATTGGTCAAGTATTGGAATAGGCTGCCTAGGGAGGTGGTGGAGTCACCATCCCTGGAGGTGTTAAAAAAACATGTAAACATGGCCCTTCGGTACATGGTTTAGTAGGCATGGTGGTGCTGGGTTGATGGTTGGACTTGATGATCTTAGAGGTCTTTTCCAACCTTAATGATTCTATGATTCTAAGTTTGAACTTACAGCTGGTATTTATGGCCAAGCTTGCAGCCTTTAGTAGTTGCACTTTGGAAAGGAGATGCTGATACAGCCCAATCCCAACCATGCATGTATGACACTGCCATAAAGGCAAAATTATTAAAAAAATATGCTGATTTAGTTGAAGATCAGAATGGTAGTGATATAAGAAATGCCCTTTGGTTTTATGCTCTTACAGAGTAATGTCTGTATCAACACTTTCTTTTAAGGTGCAGTCCACCCACACTTGTGCATCCTGCATTATGTTGAAGGCTAAACCTCAGTACACTCTTTACCTAAGTAAACTTAAAGTAATTCTTAATAGAAAACATCCTTGCAGGCATGGACCTCACCTTTACTATACATTGGAGTGATAATGCAAAAGCATCTGGTGTTACTGTCATAGACTATCTTCATCCATTTAGAGAGCCTTAACACTTCAGTTTGTTCTTCATTTAGAGTTGAACCTGTGTGTTGGAATTTGATATGGAAAATCAGTGATTGTGCGTGGGCAAACAGTGGCAGAATTTCTGAGATACATAGCAGTGCACATATCACGAATGACCTTCAAATTTCTGTGGTTGACAAGATTTTATGCCATTAAGAAAGAGCATGAGTACTTTGCCAGATCCGTCAGTACGGCGGAAGGCTTGGTCCTCTATCTCTTTTCACCACAATCCACTAGAAGCCTGGCTGATGGGGTTTCCTATCTCCTTATCTTGAACGTCATGTAATGCATATAGCTATTAACATTTCTTAGAAATATAAACTTGGAACTAACTTGATTTAAAAAGAGGGGACCATCTGTCATTATGCTGAGATCCCTCAGACAGACCTCTATGCCTAAAGGAGCTCTTTATGCCCTTTGTAGCTGGAACTACGTGAGATTACTGAGGAAAGAGGTAATGAAAACACAAGGAACAAGTCAATTCAGTAATATTTTTATTTGGGGGAAAGCTGTGCATGTGTTCCAAATACGCGTGTTTGTAAAGGCAGGTCCCTTGTTTATCTGTTGCAGGTAGATCTCTCTTGCATGGGAGTGGGGGCTCTGAACTGGATTTTCAGTTGGCTAAATTAGCCAATTTTTGTGGTGTTTATATGTGTTGTAGAGGAACTTACAGGAAGAAAAAAGAGTCTATATCACCACAGGAGAGAACATCTTTCTTTCTGAAGCTAAGAAACAAAAGAATGACTCAGAATTATATTCAGTTCCTGAAATAATTTTTAACTGCTTCCTTTTCTTAAGTTTTTAAAACTTATAAACTTACTAAACTTACTTCCAAGTTGCACTAGTATTTGTTTATTGAATCAGTATTTGCATTTCCTGCTCTTGACAGTGGGATGTTCTATGATGGAAATCATACTTACCTTATTGAGCCAGATGAAAACTACACTTCTGATGTAAGTAGAACTTATAGTAGTCCTGCTATGTTGTTTGTTGAATGCAGACGTTCATGAGTACAGGGTAGGCGTAAGGCTCTGGGGCCAAAGGGTCATCCCCTCATTCCCAGCTCATTTACCTCGTATGTGAGTCCTCATCACCACAGACAAAAGTAGACCTCCAAAAATTAGGCAGTGGTATGTGTATACGTGTGTACTCCGTACCACTTGGGTGTAGAGCAGTGCAGCATCAGAGGGTGAAGTGGGTCCCTTGGAGCCAGCAGGAGAAGCCTGTGAGTGCCCTGTCCCCTTCTGTGGCTCTTCCCACTCTGAATTCATCATACGCCTCTCCTCCTGGTTCAGCCTCCACTCCAGTTGATGTACTCAGATATTTCAAATTAAAGAGGATTAAATGTGGCGTTAGCAATCACATCACAGTTGGGAAAAGGAGAAGAGTGTAGAGTAATGGTGCCTCGCAACTTGCATATTCACTAGTGTAGGTGTTGGATAAAAAAACCCTTGGAACTGACTGTTTAATGCTTGTGAGATGGATTAGTTTATTCATGTTTAATATGTGAAATTACTTACTATTTCAGGATGACTTCCATTTCCACTCTGTTTACAAATCCAAGTTGTTTGAGTTTCCTTCGGATGACCTGCCATCTGGTATGATTTTTTAATATTCATGACTTACTGACTTGTTTTAGTCTAAGGCCAAATTTGTTAATGGTATTTGACAGATAATCTTCTGATAGTGAATTGTTTATTTGTATATCTCTGCTTTGTCCTGATTAAATAAAAAAGCACTGAAAATAAGAGTCTGAAACACTGAAAACACTGGAAAAGAACCTGAAGCGCTTAATAAACCCTGAATCCAATGAATCAAACTTCTTCTAGACCTTTGTGTTGTGATGTATGTTTCTCTTAACAAGTCATATGGTCTATGGACTGCATTATATACTAGCAGTTGTGGAAAGGAAAGGACTGAGGTAGCTTAAAGATGATGAAAATAAACCCCACATTGCCAGTGGTTGATAACTCTTCATGGATTTTTCCTATTTTGAGATACAGGGTGAGTACCATGGAATGAGCATAAGTCTGGGAGACAAGAACTTGCCAAATACCATTTCTGTTTCAGTGTCTTTCTCATCCCCAGTCTGTTCAGCATCTTTCACGGTACTATGCAGGTCATGCATTTCAATACAGATGAATTTGGAGGCAGAAGTGGTTTCAGGTGCTTGTAGTGATGAGTCCCCACAAAGAGTTTATATTATGTGTGGAGGGAGGAGAGGTTTTTAAAGAAATGAGTTTTCATCTGAGAAATTGGCTTGTTAATTGAAGCTATAACTGCAGTATTTATGGCAGATAAATGCACATCCCCATTCTATCAAGGATTTGCCAGTTTTACAGATGTGTTTCCCTACTCTACAAAATATATCCTAGATAAATAAAACTGTGTTTTGTAGACGCTGTCATTTTGATAGAAACCACCTCTAGAGTAATACCTTCAAGGGAGTTACAGATGTCCAGTCATCTTGTTACAAACTATTTGTCGTATGGTAACAGTTGGATCTGCTGATGACACCAAACTGGGAGGTGTGGTAGACACACCGGAAGGCTGTGCTGCCATTCAGCGTGACCTGGATAGGCTGGAAAGCTGGGCAGAGAGGAACCTGATGAGGTTCAACAAAGGCAAATGCAGGGTCCTGCACCTGGGGAGGAACAACCCCATGCACCAGTACAGGCTTGGGGTGGACCTGCTGGAGAGCAGCTCTGTGGAGAGGGACCTGGGTGTCCTGGTGGACGACAGGTTAACCATGAGCCAGCAGTGTGCCCTGGCTGCCAAGAAGGCCAATGGCATCCTGGGGTGCATCAAGAAGAGTGTGGCCAGCAGGACGAGGGAGGTTCTCCTTCCCCTCTACACTGCCCTAGTGAGGCCCCATCTGGAGTACTCTGTCCAGTTCTGGACTCCCCAGTTCAAGAAAGATGAAGAGCTACTGGAGAGAGTCCAGCGGAGGGCTACGAGGATGATGAGGGGACTGGAACATCTCCCCTACGAGGAGAGATTGAAGGAACTGGGCTTGTTCAGCCTGAAGAAGAGAAGGCTGCGAGGGGACCT